GTTTTTCAGTCTGGTTCTCATGAGAGCACCTGGAGATTTGGTATGGTACTCACACTGCACGTAGTGTGACCCATTAAATATAACTATAAAAAAATAAAATAATTAATAATAGCATTATTGCACATTATTTAGTTAGATGATAAACAAAATAAAGTGTGATAAAACTATCATATTTTAAAATAAAAAGTGAATATTAAATAAAAATACAATTATTTTATAGTACATTAAAAAATATAACGCTAATATTTACAATAAAAAAAAATGTCTTTTTACTTTTTTATATGAATTTTCAATATTTTCAAACCTAAAATCAGCAAGCCTTTATATTGGAGGGTTGCCGGCAAGTAAGTATATGCACTGTCGGTTTTAGCGCTGCCGAGTGAAGTGAGTCAGTGAATGTCGTAGTTTTGTGTTTTGCTCTGAAATCGGCAGCGCATAACCTAGATTTATGCTTTCAGTACGAATGGAAATCTTATACAGTATTACAGTTAGTCGATCTAAAACAGTGATTGTGCATTAACAGCTGTTAACAATGTCTGTACACAAATGAGCGGTCTGAACTTATTTACTCATCGCATTTTTTATTTTGGTCATGCATGTGCACTTGCACACTTATGTGAACCCCTGCATATATGCCTATTCGTGCAGCAGCAAACATAAACTTTTGTCCGACAAACTTTTTTTTACTATTTCTTAGAAAAAAAACCTGTATAATTCAGTCATGAAACTCTAGATGGCGCAGACTGAAGGTCCTTAACATGCAATCTGCTAGCAATCACATCATTCACAACATGGCACGAGCTGATTGGCCTCTGCTGATTCTGCAGCCAATGAGAGTGCTTGCGCAACATTTAAACAGTCTGGTTCAGAATGCAATCTGCTAGCAATCACATCATTCACAACATGGCACGAGCTGATTGGCCTCGGCTGATTCTGCAGCCAATGAGAGTGATTGCGCAACATTTAAACAGTCTGGTTCAGAGTTTGCTGTAAGTTCCTCCGAAACCTCCACCTTCCCCAGCACCACCTGCTAGATCTGCTACGGGATGTATGTATGACTGACTATTCATGCAGCGGTGTATCTTACATGCTTACAGCAGCATGTCTGTGTATCTGATGGTAAGTCCATCAAGGCCAAATCAAGTCATGTGGTCTGACCAACATGCAAAAATAACCTCAAAAAACAAACAGTATCATAGAGAGCCCTCACTGTGTGTGTCAAGGTCAATAATGTCTTAAAATATCAGATAATTTGATCATTTTATGACATGACAAGATTATAAAATGTCATGTGGTCTAATTTTCCAAAAATGTTATTCATGAATTAATTATTCATGATATTTGTAGAAATAATAATAATAATAGAAAAATCTAATACATGTTTAAAAAAAACATTTTTGAAAATAATCATTAAATCACTGATACTATTTCGAGCAAAACAGGTGCAAAGAAATGATATTCTAGATGTTATTACATTTTATGTGATGTTACACCTAAATTGACATTAAACTTCTGAAAAAGTAAAAAGGTTTTTTCGAAACCATCATAAATACAAAGAGTATGTTTCTAAGAACTTGGCACATGTGTTTTAAACTAGATTTGCAAGATTTTTTTGCCTTTTTCTTATCGTCTTTGACCCATATTTGTGTTCCTGAAGAGAATTCAAAAGCTTTCCTGAAGGGAATAAAAAGTTTTTTAAAAAAAAAAAAAAAAAAATGCAACAGAATCAGAGAAAAGACAAAGGTAAGAGACTGTGAGAACGTTTTTTATGAGGTAATGGATTGCTCATCACATGAAGCATTGACAAAAATACAACTGAATCCAAAATAATGGTATAATTGGCCACATGGTAGGTCTGTCTTAAAAGGTTTCTACATCATTGTTCCTCTGTGGAGATATTTTCTTCAAGAATGTGACTGTTGTGCTTTGTTTGGAAACAACTTCTGACCTTAAACGCTGGACTCATTTTCTCATAAATCATCTCAATAACTCATCTGCCAAGCAATTGTCTTTCGTTTGACTTTCAACTGCCTTGCTTTGATTCAGTGACACAACGAAGGGCAAGGTCTGAGACCAATTTTCCTCCAGGTCTGTTGTCACTTGCAGATGGTTTCTCATTGCAGCTATTATGCAACACAGAAATGTTTGGTTCTTTCCAGCAAGCAACGTTAAACTAGGCCCCCTTCCAAGCCCTACTGCTCTCCCTTCACCCCATCAGCCTTATTTTCTTCAGTCCTGAATAAAACTACACCACAACTAACTACTCTACATAACTCTAAATCAAAGTTTCAGTAATCTTCTCTGTCCGTTACAGACCTTAGTCCTCCATTGCGAGACGAGCAAAAAGTGGGTCAAGCGTGTGGATGGATATCATGTAAAGATGCGTTGCGTAACGAGTCGTGAGGGGAAGCATGATCAGGGGCCCCTGTATAGACTCGAGTCTGGACATTGTCCTGAACACAACAGAACTTTCTACCATCAATGAACAGCTTCCAGCTCAAGAATCTGTTCTCATGTCAATACCGTTCTAGTTCTAGAGCAAGCAACCACAAGCTTTCTTAGGGGAACACAGTACTTTTGCAAGAAATTGCAAAAGATTTGCAAACAAACAAAGTTTTAAGGGGAACGCAATACTGTTGCAAAAGAGCAAAGTTTTGAGAGAGAACATAAAGGTTCTTGAGGGAATGCAATAATTTCTCAAGAGAACTCAAAACTTTTGCAAGCAAAAAAAAAGGCATTGAAATACAATTTTTCCATCCATCTCATATTTCTTACATGTCCCCTTATAGGGGATCCATAGACGTCCATAACGAGTTTTATATTAAAATTCATGATATTTTTATTTCTCAGTGTTGAAACTCAAAAAATAATAATGTTAATGAGAAATCAGTGAAGGTAAATGGGCACTGAGGTGGGAAAGATGTCTATATATCTCATGCGCTTTATTCCAAATCTTCTGAAGTATTAGCATATTCACAAATTGAGATTTGAGAGCTACAGTGGAGAGGAATGCCTCTTCATATCATTTCAGAACGCTTCAAATATTGCACAGAAGTCACATGGACTACATTTATAATTGTATAACCATGTGTTTTTATAGTTTTGTTGTCATTTTTGGAAATTGACATACATGGTCAATAAAAAATAGCAGTATGCAGGTTTGGAACATTATGAGGGTTAGTAAATAATGACAGTAAATGGTGTCCATTCCCATCACTTCTAAACATTTATAAAGCCTCCGTGTCATACAGGATACAATAATGGCCAAAATTGATGTCTGGTATTAGCATATTCACAAATTGAGATTTGAGAGCTACAGTGGAGAGGAATGCCTCTTCATATCATTTCAGAACGCTTCAAATATTGCACAGAAGTCACATGGACTACATTTATAATTGTATAACCATGTGTTTTTATAGTTTTGTTGTCATTTTTGGAAATTGACATACATGGTCAATAAAAAATAGCAGTATGCAGGTTTGGAACATTATGAGGGTTAGTAAATAATGGAGGCTTTATAAATGTTTAGAAGTGATGGGAATGGATACCGTGTCATACAGGATACAATAATGGCCAAAATTGATGTCTGACCTAGGAAAACAGACATTTTCCCTATTTTGTGATTTCATGCAATGAAACATGCTGAATTGTGCAGACTTTTTTTGTTGCCAAAGCTAACATACAAAATTTGCTCTTATTATTCCCAGCCTATATTTTAATTGTGATTATTGTGCAATGAAACATGCTGGATTGTGCAGACTTTTTTTGTTTTTTTTTTGCCAAAGCTAACATACAAAACTTGCTCTTATTATTCCCAGTCTATATTTTAAACAATCACTATGGCAGTGTGTTAGCTATATTGAATGTGTCATTTCTAACATAATCCCAAACACACCACATACACAATGAAGGCGTGCAGCGAGAGCGTTACTTAATCCCATTGAAAACCATTGGGAAATTTGTAGCTGATGAATGAATCTCAGCTTTGGGAGGAATTTAAGGAAGCTTTCCAAGAAATTATGCATGACACATGCACAAAGCCTACCGAGTGTTAAATCAAAAACAATGGTGAACCAATGAAATAATAGCTGATTATACTGTAGTCAGTGTATGCTTTATTTCCTGCGAGTTATTTGTTTTTATAAGCATTTTTTTTTTTTGCATAGTTAAACAAAACCCATATTTCATGATAAGCTGTAGCTGTGTGTTTTCTTCTTCCCAATATGTAACATACTCCTCATATTATAATGGTTTAATCAAACTTGTAGGGTCGTTAAAAGCGAATAATGTGCCAATAATGGCTATTACTGTATGTGGAGGCTTGATGCTGCTCAGATTGTGACATGAGATCTTACCTTCTCGAGGAGAGATGGTGGGAAATCTGGTCTCGGAGAGCCTCACTGTTCTGCTGCTCATTCGGCCCTTGTAGACCTGTCCATCCAAACCTAAGATGTCCACCTCCGCTGCCTGAAGAAACACAGCTCACGGTTCATACATACTCACAGTTCACAGTGACATTTTCAAAGGATTCTGGGCCTGACCTGTGCGGGTGGTCCAGAGGACACGGGCCGACTGTCCTCTTCGTTCTGGATCAGGTGGGTGATGTGCTGAAGGCGGGTGTAGCGGCGGCCGGGGTAGGTGAGGGTGTGGCTGCCCCCACAGCTACGGGCCAGGTAACTGTAATCGGCCATTTCTGGGATCCTCTCACTGCATAATAGGCCAGAAAACATCATTCAACACTCTTAAAAAGATTCCAAAAATGTTTTTTTTTGCAGTGAACCTGTGGTTCTCCAAAGAACCTTTCAGTGAACAGTTCTTAAAAGAACCATTTTTTCTTAGAGTGAACAACATTTTAATAATCCGAAGAACCTTTATCCACTATAAAGAACCTTTAGTGCATTTGAAAGATTCCATGAATGTTAAAGGGGTCATATGATGCTGCTAAAAAGAACATTATTTTGTGTATTTGG